TTCACTCTGGCAGTGTAAACTAATAACTGGTCTTCACAGGTGTGGGGCAGAAAGTCATTCTTCTGCTCACCTGAGACACATGCATATCTGATTGTTTCCTCTGCCCTATTGTTTATGTAAAAATGCAGATTCACTGAGTCAGACTAAATTGTGTGTTCAGCGAAAGGCTCATCAAGGACTCAATGCAATCTTTCATCTCTTATCAACCTTTTTGTCTCTTATGACCTGGAAGCACCCCTGCTGCCTTCAAGTTGTCCCACATTGCCAGACTGAACCAATGTACATCTTACACACATTGATTGATGTCTCCTGGCTCCCTGTGAATAAAAGCAAGCTGTGCCCTGACCACCTCAGGCACATGTCCGGACCTCCTGAGGCTGTGTGATGGGTGCATCCTTAAGTTTGGCAAAATAAACTTTCTACATTGACTGAGATCTGTCTCAGATATTTGGGGTTCACAGCCCTGCCATCTCTGCCCTCCTCCCTACCTCCTGCCCTGGGCATGGCTGGCAGACAAAAACCTGGAGAGCAGCCCACTCCCTGCTGATTGTCCTTCACTGGAACAGGCAGAGGAGGTTCTGCGTCACAGCACAGAGGTGGGCTGTAAGCCTGCAGGAGATTACAGCTGATCCCTGAGGTGGGCCTGCCCCAAGGTGGTGGCTTCAGCCTGGGAGGGCCAGAGGAGCTCAGGCGAGACCTCAGCAGTCCACGTGGAGAGGGAGGGCCGAGCTCAGGCGAGACCGCAGCAGTCCACGTGGAGAGGGAGGGCCGAGCTCAGGCGAGACCGCAGCAGTCCACGTGGAGAGGGAGGGCGGAGCTCAGGCGAGACCTCAGCAGTCCACGTGGAGAGGGAGGGCGGAGCTCAGGCGAGACCGCAGCAGTCCACGTGGAGAGGGAGGGCGGAGCTCAGGCGAGACCGCAGCAGTCCACGTGGAGAGGGAGGGCGGAGCTCAGGCGAGACCGCAGCAGTCCACGTGGAGAGGGAGGATGGGGAGAGGGTGGGGAGATGACTAGACCCTGAGTGACGCACACAGGCTCCCACTTCCATTCGAAGACACTTCCAGTGAGATGCTTAAATCTGCAGTGGAGGGTAAGAGACACGACCCCAGGAGACAGCAACTGGTGCTCCGAGGCAGTGGAACCAGCTCCCTGTTGGAGTCTGAGGCCTTGGTCCTATTCCCAGTTTCACTCCTGGTTTGCTGAATGATCTGGAGACCTCTGGGCCTCACAGCTTTCCATCTGCAGAGTGGAAAGAGTGGATGGGAGGTTTCTAGGTTCCCTCCACTTCTCATCATTGCCGGCATTCGCTTATAACAGGGGTCGGACTCCTCTCTGTGCACCTGTCCTGCGGAGAGACCTAGGAAGGTACATTTTCCTGGCTTGGGAGATTTGGGCTGAGCAGTCCAGGGTGGCCGAGGTTTAGAGGGGACAGCTAGGGAAGTACTTCCCCTATCCCTTAAGATCTGGGCTGGATTCCGCTCTTCCCATAGGGATTTACCTGAAGCCCAGGAACACCGTAGATCGGACTCCTGAAACTGCCTTTGCAAAATTAAAACACTGAGAGAAATCTAACACAGCTGACTCCATCTTGCTGCTTTAAAAAAAAAAATTAGCTTTTGGTGTACAAGTGTTTTTTGTTTTTTTTTTTTTTTTTTTTTTTTTTGCTTTGTTTTGTTTTGTTTTTTGTTATATGGATGAATTATACAGTGGTGAATTCTGAGATTTTAGTGCACCCATAATCTGAGTAGGGTTAATTGTACCTAATGTGTAGTTTTTTTTTTTATCCCTAGCACCCCTCCAGCCTCCACTTTCTAAGTCTCTGAAATCCATTATATTACTCTGTTTGTCTTTGTATATTCATAGCTTAGCTCCCACTTATACGTGAGAACATACGGTTTTGGGTTTTCCACTTCCGTGTTACCTCACTTAGAACACTGGCCTCCAGGCTGCGCATGGTGGTTCATGCCTATAATAATCCCAGCACTTTGGGAGGCCAAGGCGGGCAGATCACTTGAGGTCAGGAGTTGGAGACCAGCCTGGCCAACATGGCGAAACCTTGTTCCTAGTAAAAATATAAAAATTAGCCAGGTGTGGTGGCAGGTGCCTGTAGTCCTAGCTACGAGGGAGGCTGAGGCAGAAGAATTGCTAGAACCCAGGAGGTGGAGGTTGCAGTGAGCCGAGATTGCACGACTGCACTCCAGCCTGGGCAACAGAGCAAGACTCCATCTCAAAAACAAAAAAACAAACAAACAAAAACACACCAAAAAAACTTACTTGGGAGCTCTGGCTCCCAGGGCCTGTGGGGAGTGGGGAGCTGGGAGCTAGGAGGAGGCTGGGTCACAAGAGCAAGTCTTTTCCAGGATGCCAGGACCACACCCGGTAGAGGGCTCAGTTGGAGTTTCAGGGATGAGCACCTGCCTGGAGGGCCTGAAGGAAGCCCATGGAAGGCCATGGCCAAAGGAGCTCATCGCCCTGGGGCCGGAAGAATCTGCCCAGCAGATGGTCCTGCGGAGGATCCAGGAACTTTCTGATTCGGTATGGAGGGAGGGGAGAGACGGGGAGCTGGGAAGACTAAGGTCTTCCTTAGTGGCAAGAAATAAGGCTTTCTGTTTCACCGTTCTGTAACGCCGTTAGGCCGTCTCTCTCAAGGCTCTCTTGTGCTGGGGCTAATGGGAAAGCTTGACTTTTGTTCTTCCTGCCATGCCTGTTTCCACCACTTGGGGTTTTACCCAGTGCCAAGCTGTGGGGTCCTCCAGCTTTGGTCTACAAAGACGATTGCCTGCTTGTCCTCCTGGCTTCCCCAGCTCCCTGGGTTTTTAGGGCTATGCTGCCTCCGTGCATAATCTCGTCTGGACCCGATTGTCACCATCACTGGAGAAGCTGTTGGCAGTGCAGACTCTTTGTCCACCCTAGACTGACTGCACGGAGCATAGAGTTGACAGGATCTGGGGGATTTGCCTGCACATGAAGGCTGGGAAGGCCTGCTCTAGACTCACCCGGTGACTTACCATTTCCCCACTGGCTTCCAGGGACTCCATCCTACCTCCCATCAGACTCACTTAGGACACAAAGTCTCAGCTCTCTTACCTTCTTCACCACCCCATCCCTGCCAGTCAGCGGACCCTTTTCCTGGTCTGAGGGAAGGCCTTCTATCAGTGTCACTATGACATTTTTCTTGCACCCTGGCATCCTTTTCTCCCAAGGGCTAAGCTTCCCTAAGAAGGCCAGAAAGTCTTACAGCTGCCTCCTGCCTGGCCACATCTCTTCCCAGGGACATTATACAGCCAGACACTGGCATCAATGAGGGGGAGAAGAAGAGAGAAAATCAGAAGGGAAAAAAAGAGATATCTCAAAATATCCTGGCCTACAGGTGTCCCTGAACCCATTTCTTTTTGGGATTGAATGTCAACTGTGCTGCTGTCTGGCAGTAAGAACTTGGGTGAGGCACTCCAGTCCTCTGCACCTCAGTGACTGCATCTGTGCAATGGAATTATTTATAGAGTATCTCCGTCCCTTCCCCCAGCACAGTGTGTGGCTCCTGAGAGTTGATTGATCAGCTCATGCTGCCTGAGTCCACGCCTTTTTCTCTGTGGCTCAGTTGGATGGAAGCTCCACAGGGACAGGGATTTTTGATCTGTTTTCTTCACTGCTCTTTCCCCAGTACCCAGATTAGAGCCTGGTACAGAGTAGGTGCTGGAGAACTCTGTTGAATGACTGTAGAACAAATAGCCTGGAGCTGCCCCAGCCCAGCAGGCTCCTCTCTCCTACCCAGGACCATGGCACACGTCACAAGGCAGAATGGAACAGTGTCAAGGGTGGTCTCCCTAGACTTAGGAGACCTGGGTTTAGACCCTGTCTTTGCCATGCTTTTGCTGTAGGACCTTGAGCCAGTGACCACCTTTTTGAGCCTTTGCTTCCCCATCTCCAAAATGGGGATAACAGCAGCCCTTACTTCATAGAGCTGTTATGAGGATTAAATGAGATAATCCACCCCCTCAGCCTTTCCTCCCTGTCTCCCTATCCCGTAGGACCAGCAAGACCCCTTCATGCTGGCTGACCTGGACATGCTGGCCAGTCGCCATCAGGCCTTCTGCCAAGCCCTGCCACAGGTCTCACCCTTCTATGCAGTGAAGTGCAACAGTAGCCCTTGGGTGCTGCGTGTCCTGGCCGCCCTGGGCACCGGCTTTGACTGTGCCAGCCAGGTGAGCCTGTGCCCGCCGAGGATTAGGCCAGGCCAGCTGGAAGGGGGGGAGTCCCAGGCTGCTGCTGCTGAGGTCATGAATACGTGTCCCCTGTCCCAAGGAGCACTTGAAATGCGCTAAGCACACTACAGGGGGCCTAACATGCATTCTCCTTGATCCTCCCATCCGCTCTGCAAGGCAGCCAGGGGATCTGCATTTCATAGAGGAGGAGACAGCCTTAGGGGGAATCACTTGCCCATGGGCCAACATATGGTAAGAGACAGAGATGATCCATCCATAGCTGGCATTTTTTTCTTACACCAGGGGTGCAACATTCCAAGGGGTTTTTAGCAGAAGGGGATTCAGCAACGTTGAGGGAGGTTAGAGCCAAAGCCCAAGGGTGGGAAGGGGGAGAACTCAGGATGGGAGTATTTTGCTGAGTCTCTTTCCTTCCTTCCTTTCTTTTTAAGACTAGTCAAGTATAGTAGTGAGAAGTGGGGAAGAACAAGGAGTTCATCTGTAACTGACTGTTACAATCAATTGAGATAACTCACCACTTTCGGACCAGCCCTTCCTCCCTTTCTGAGGAACCCTCCACTAAGCAGGATTGAGTGCACCAGCTGCCTCTAGGAAGCCAGCCCATCTCCTCTCTATGGGGCTGAAATTGATGGGAGGGGGGTTGGTTCTAAGCTGAGACTATGAGCACCTAGAGCACAGGGCACGTTGAGACTATGAGCCCCACCCTGCCCTGCCTGGCAGGGACTCCATAATGAGCACCCTGTCAACCCCACCCAGGGCTCCTGCCTAAAAGTGGGGGAGCCGGGGATGGGACCCAAACCAAGGGTTCCATCAGGGCAACCTCTTTGGCTCATGCACAGTGTTCCTGTCCCCACATAGTTGGAGGGGGGCAGTGAGGCAGCCCCCAACCCTGGCTCTTGGCCACTCCAGGTGGAACTGGAGCAGGTGCTGGGCCTGGGCGTGGCCCCCTCGCGCATCATCTATGCCAACCCCTGCAAGCCTGCCTCCCACATCCGGTATGCTGCCCGGCACGGGGTGCAACTCCTGACCTTCGACAGCGAGGAGGAGCTCACAAAGGTGGCCCAGCACCATCCTGGGGCCAGGTGAGACCAGCAGGGGTGCAGGCAGGTAGGGTGAGAGTCAGCAGTAAAGAACGTATCACCCAACACAGCACACCCCTGACAAATGCTGGCCTGAGACAAGTGAAGGGGAGGACCCTCAAGGCCCAGCCATTTTAAGAGGGTCTGGCAGCTGCCTTTGGAGTGAGACAACCCAGGTTCAAATCCTGGCATTGTTGCTTACCTGATGTATGCATTGGGCACGTCTCTTATTTTTGAGACGGAGTCTCGCTCTGTTGCCCAGGCTGGAGTGCAGTGGCATGATCTCAGCTCACTGAAACCTCTGCCTCCCAGGTTCACGCCATTCTCCTGCCTCAGCCTCCTGAGTAACTGGGATTACAGGCGCGTGCCACCATGCCCGGCTAATTTTTGTGTATTTAGTAGAGACAGGGCTTCACCACGTTGGTCAGGCTGGTCTTGAACTCTAACCTTGTGATCCGCCCGCCTTGGCCTCCCGAAGTACTGGGATTACAGGTGTGAGCCACCGTGCCCAGTCAAGTCTCTTTTTTTTTGAGACAGAGTTTTGCTCTTGTTGCTCAGGCTGGAGCGCAGTGGTGCAATCTCAACTCACCACAACCTCTGCCTCCTGAGTTCAAGTGATTCTCCTGTCTCAGCCTCCAGAGTAGCTGGGATTACAGGCGCCCGCAACCACATCTGGCTGATTTTTTGTATTTTTAGTAGAGATGGGGTTTCACTGTGTTGGCCAGGCTGGTCTCAAATTCCTGACCACAGGTGATCCACCTGCCTCAGCCTCTGAATATTCTGGAATTACAGGCGTGAGCCACTGCGCCCAGCCTAGGCAAGTCTCTTTTAACATTTCTAAAACTCGGTTCCTTCATTTACAACATGGGGGCATGTTGCCTGTCACATAGTAGGTGCTTACCAGTACTATCAGTTTTCTACACTCCCTTCTCTGGGTGTACCTAGGGAAAAGTAGATGTATACATAAGTGTGTTGGGCTGGGGTGATGGCCACATGGATTTGGTGGCATTGGAAAACATCCCAGATCTGGGAATCAGCTGGGCACAGGTGGGGGTGGTATAAGCAGCCCTGGGCCCCTTGGCATCTCTGGCTGAGTGCTCTCTCCCTCTTCCCTATCCTCGGTGTCCCTCCTCCAGACTGCTCCTCCGGCTGAGGACCCAGGACAGCCAGAGCACCTTCCCTCTGAGTACCAAGTTCGGGGCCAGCCTGGAGGCATGTGGGCACCTGCTAACGTCTGCCAGAGACCTGGGGTTGGCCGTGGTCGGAGCCAGGTGAGTGATGCCTGAGGACTCCAGGAGCCCTTCCCTTGCTGTGGATAACTACGACAGAAACAGAGAGACACAGTCACACATAAGCCACTGGGGCCAAACGCAGAAACAAACAGCTGGAAACATAACTGATTACACTGGCGTAAGTGTCATCAGTTGGGGCCCATGGCAAGCTGTGGCCCCTCTCTGGGGCCTGTGAGACCCCATCTGTCTAAAGGGGCAGGATGTAATGTGAAGGTTACTCAGGGCCTCCCTGCTCTGAGGCCCTGGGGGGTTTGGGGTCTTGTTGTGAAGGGTCCATGAGGGGAAAGGGAGCCCACGTGGCAGTGCTGGGATCACGGGCTCCATGGCAGTGTGTGTCTGAGTGTGTGTGCGTGTGAACACTCGGGTGAGTGCCTCTTCGTGGGTGCCTCGTTGGCCTGAGTGTGCAGGTGTCTAAAAGCACACACTTAATGCCAGTGTAATCAGTTATGTTTCCAACTGTTTGTTTCTGCATTTGGCCCCGGTGGTTTTGTGCCTTATGTGTGACTGTGCCTCTCTGTCTCTGTCGCAGTTATCCACAGTCCGTGTGGCTTTGTGGTTTGGAACTGTGTTTCATGTGTTTCTGTACGTATCTCTCACCATGTCACATGCACTGGCTGTGCTAGCTTCCACGTGGGCTCCAACTGCCAGACACCCCAGAGCTTCACACAGGCCATCGCTGACTGCCGGTGCGTGTTTGAAATGGGCCGCGGGGCTGGGCATGATATGAGCTGCCTGGACATCGGAGGCGGCTTCCCTGGAACGGAGGACTCGGGGCCCAAGTTTGAGGAGGTGAGCTGGCAGGGGCGCTGGGGGTGTTCAGGGAGGTCCGTGTGTGTGCCCAGGCATGTGTGTGTGTGGGAGTCTGTGTTCATCCATGTACCTCTGTGTTTAGGTCTCTCTGGTGTGTCTCTGGGTGTGCTCTGTGTGCATGGGTAGGTAACTGTGTATGTGCATGTCTTGGCCTTGATATCCCCCAAAAGCAGACTCTGAGACAAACACTTGGATACAAGTAGCTTTTCTGGAGATGATCCATGGAAGCGCCAGTGAGGAAGTCAGGAAAGTGAGACAGAAGGGAGAAAAGTCAAAGAGAATTCATCTATGAGCTGTTTACCACTGTGGGCCCCTGTACCTGTCCCCCTGGGGACAATGTAGAACCTCAGAATCATCCCACTAGATGACAGGGGGCTGGGTCCTTTATTCACCAACTCCTGTCCCTCTTTGGTTGAAGGCTGTGGTCTGGGGGTGTTAATTTCCCCACATTCCAGCTAGTTTCTGAGGGCGCTGGAGAAAGCCCACAGAGTGAGAAGCAAAGGGGGGCAGGCACTGGAGGCTGGAAATCATCTTGCACAGGGCAGATGAGCTAAGGTAGGCTGCGGGGAGGTGGCACCGGGTGTCCACTGCAGCTGCAGCAAGGGTTCTGGGGGCTGTGCCTCTCTGTGTGTCTGTATGTGTGTATGTTTTCTTGTAGAATTCTTGTTAGCATCACCAATACAGTTATAGTTGGGAGTTTACATTCCCTGGGTCCACAAGACACTCATCTTCTTTCTTTGCATCGGATTAAATCGCTGCATCTTGGGACTTCTCAGGGAGCCTGGTGGCTAGCAGCCCCACCCAAGTGACCTCCTGTCTCTCAGCTTCTGTTTCCTGTTTGGTAAACAGGGATAATTCTAATGCCTACCCTGCAGGGTGCCTTGGGGATGAAAGGACTGACGCAGGTAAGGCGCTGGCACAGGCACTGGCACATCAACAAGTGTTGGATGAGTTAACCTCTTCCTGCTGTCCCTCCACCCCATTCCAGATGGCAAGAGTGATCAGTGCTGCCCTGGCCCAGGACTTCCCTGAGGAGCGTGGTGTCAAGGTCATCGCAGAGCCGGGCCGCTTCTATATGGAGTCTGTCTGCACGGCCGCTGTCAACATCATTGCCAAGAAGGCTGTGCTGGAGCCCGGTGGGTGGGCCAGGATGGCACTGGGTGGGGAGGCCACTGTCCAGGCATGCCCAGGCCCTGGAAGAGAGGAAGGGCAGAGGGTTGGGGCTCTGTCCCAGGAGCTGGGGTCAGAGTAGTGACTGAGCTCTCCCCAGGAGGCAGCCGGAAGCTGATGTATTATCTCAACGATGGCCACTATGGCTCCTTCCGCCTTGGCCACCGAGAGCCTGTCCCAAGGGTTCCCATCGTGGTGAAGGTAAGGGGGCCACTCCAGCCCCAAGAGTCTAGTTCCTTACCTTGAGATGCCTTGTGCCTCCCCCACTGGGAACAGTAGCTGTGCTGGACCCCAGAGGCAGGTCCTGGCCTGCTGCTTAGAGCACACGTGGACACGTACATGATGCGTGCTCACAGGTCAGAGCATGGGCAGCAGCTGGCTATGGGGGCCTCGTCAGGCAAAGGGACAGTCACCAGAACACAAAGGCGTGGGATGTTTTCCAAAATATGGACGTTCTTCTCCTTGGTGGTTAAAGAGCTATTCCCCCGAGTCCACCAGGGGCCTCCCTGCCGACGCCCTTGCAGCTCAATCCCGCGCATGATCTGGCAACAAAGCTGCGATACCTGACCCTGTAGGGCCAACAGGATCTTCCTCCAGCTCCAGGGCAGTTGTCTCCTGATGTGATGGGTTGGTATCCGGGCCACGCTGCTTTGTAAATATCTTGACTGTTTCTCCCGGCCAGTGAACGTCTTGGTGTGTGCACACATTTGGTCATGTATATGATGTGTGTCTGCATGCATGTGCGAGTGCGTATGTGTGTGAGGTGCTTCTGGGTGTGTGTCTTCATGTGTGTATTTGCCTCTCTTCCCATCGCGGGGAGTGAGTACTGGATATGGAGGAACCAGTAGGAGACCCTGTGTTTGTTTGGTTCCCACAATAGTTTTCAATTTTAGTTGCCCATATTTAAAAATCTAGACACATTTCGTAAAAGCCTGGATTTTCTCAGCTCCTCTCAAACATTTGAGAGATCTGATGATAACATGGCCTGCAGAAAAACAAGGCAACAAATAATTCAACAAATTAGTCTAGCACGTCAGGGGCTGTGATCTGCTGGAACGGACTTCCAGCAGTGGCTTTCCCCTGTAGACAGACAGTGACTTGCCAGTTTGTTGTCAGACTGACCTGGCCCATTTCACTCATTTGTGTTACCTGCTGGACCTCTAGGTAACTGAGTTTTCAACTGCTGCCTTATAGCAACTAATGAAGACAACAGCCCCATTTACAGAGGAGGAATCCGAGCCCTTACCTGTAGGCACATCAGACCTGGCCAGGCTGGGCAGCGGCCACAGAGGGATGGGTCCCAGCCAGTGTACATCCATGTGCCCCTGGGAGTGCCCTTCAGGGTCTTTCAATGGCTTCCAGGTAAGGGGTGGGATAGGCCAGCCTGCTGTCTTTTCTGACCCCCTTTCCTATGTCACACAGGAGTTCTGCTCAGAGCCGCCCCTCTTCCCCTGCACACTCTATGGTCCCACATGCGATGCCTCTGACAGGCTCTTCTTGGAGGATGTGCGGCTGCCGGAGCTTGATGTAGGCGATTGGTTGGTCTTCCCCTCCATGGGCGCCTACACATCCTCCATGAGCTGCAGCTTCAATGGCTTCCTGCCCGCCACCATCTGCTACACCATGGGCCCCCAGCTTAGGTGCCTGGGGGTTGGGGTTGAAGAGGAAGCAGGAAACCTCACACTCATTTGAGTTTGGGGTGGGAACTGGTCCCAGGGAATCTCCCTTTCCCTGTTGACTCACTGAAGTCAAAGTGTCCATCTGATATTTGGGCTCTGATCTGCCTCTGCCCCCCCTCCCAGGGAGGTGGAGAATTGCAAAGAGATCCCCAGGCCCTCTAGCCACTGTCTGACCCCACTCCTGCTTCAGACGCCCACTGCCCCAGCTCTGCCTCCAGGCCCCAGCTCTGCTGCTGTGTGTGCAGCCTCAGGGCTGTAGACAAAGGCCTTGACACCCACCCTGCATCCCATGCCCTTTCCCCAGGAGCCTTCTGGAGGCAGAGCCTGAATCCAGAGTCGGCTAGGCTGGAGGACTTTAAAACACTCTGGTAGGTAGGCCCCTGGGAACTGTTGGGAGTTGGGATGGCAGGGAGGAGGCAAAGGTTTGGGTAACTATGAAATCCTATGCGAACCTTCTAAAAACATCTTGCTATCATTTTGGGTCAGTTCTTTCCTTTTGTCTTTTTTCTTTTCTTCTCTTTTCTTTTATTTTCTTCTTTTTCTTTTCTTTTTTCTTTTCTTTCTTTCATTTTCATTTTCCTTCTTTTCTTTCTTTCCTCCCTCCCTTCTCTTTCCTTCCCTTTTTCTTTCTTTCCTTTCTTTTTGAGACAGAGTCTTACTCTGTCCCCCAGGCTTGGAGTGCAGTGGCATGATCTCAGCTCACTGCAGCCTCGACCTCTCAGGGCTCAGGTGATCCTCCCATCTCAGCCTCCTGAGTAGCTGGGGTTATAGGTGTATACCACCACACCCAGCTAATTTTTGTATTTTTGGTAGAGATGGGGTTTCGCCATGTTGCCCAGGCTGGTCTCGAGCTTCTGGGCTCGAGCAATCCGCCTGCCTCAGCCTCCCAAAGTGCTGGCATTACAGGAGCCACCACATGCCTGTGTCTTCAGTCAGGTCTTACACTGACTTTTCTTAGCAGCAGACTGCCCTGCCCATCCTCCTTGTCATCTGCCTCGCCATCCCTCCTTTCCCACCCTCTTGAACGGTGGCTGAAGGGGACACATTAGAAGCTACTTCTTCTCAGACTGACTACAAAAAATGGGCTATTGATCTTTTATGTTAATAATGCAGCCCACACACCTGCTCAATTCATACCTAACTGGTGTCAGTTTACAACCTTAAATTCATCCTGCCGCTCCTCCCCGCTTTTTATTTACTCGTGCCCTTGCCTTGTCCCAGAAAGGGTTTCTATAAAATGCATCAACGTATCATAGTGGTTAAGAGCATGTCACTGGAATAAGTGAGAACTGGGCTCAAATTTAGGCACCACTGCTACTAGCTGTGAATTTGGGCAGGTCAACTAACTTAGTTGAACTCTAGTTTTCCTTGTAAAATGGTGGTAAGAATAATAACTTCCCCGTAGGGTTGTTGGGATTAAGAGAGGGATGAATGTATCATTTAGGGCCAGCTTTTCCTTCGGCCACCCTGTTCTTGCTGGCTCTCCTCCTGGAGTCTAGATGTCACAGAGACCCCATCTTGCATCCTGGGTCTTTTCATAGAGTGTTGGTAGGGTGTCCCACTCAGGCCAAGCCAGGATGTGTGCCCGATGCTAGGGGGACAGGTGAGGCAGGCGCAGACCCAGTCCTTGAGAAGTCCTGAGGCCCGTGGAAAGCTAAAGGCAGGCGCAGCTGGCTGCAGCACAGGGAGGACCATGGGACATACTCTGAGGACAGTTCAGGTAGAAGCCATCCATTCGGAGGAGTGAGTGGCTTCTTGGAAGGAGAGTGGTGGCACCTGGAGGCGGAGCAGAATCAGTAGGTAAAGCAGGCAAGAAGCGTGGCTCAGGTGTGGGAACAACTTGGCCCAGGCATGGGAATGAGCCTCTGCTCAGAGAACAGTGAGTGACCAGGATTGGAGATGAGAAACAGAGATTGCAGAGCCTCAGGACACAGGGTGACCAGTTTGCCTGGGTTTGTCTGGAACATTCCTGGTGCTAGCGCTGTAAATCCTGAGTCCTAGGAAGCTCCTGAGTCTTAGGCAAACCAGATGGTTGGGGAGGGAGGGGAGAAGGTCGTCATACCCCAAAGCCACATTCCTGCAGCTATAGCGGGTACAGCCACTGATTTCTCAGCTTCTGGCTCAGCCAAGGAAAGTGTCTCCCTGCCTTCAGCAGGACCTCTCCCACCCTCTCTGCTACTACTCAACTCAGCCAGGTCCTCAGGGATCCCAGAGTCCCTGGAGCTGAAGAGGAATTTCCCCTGACACGTAGGATGCAAAGAGCAGATTGGGGTAACAGAGGCCACTCAGAGAAGCTAGAGGAGCTCAACAGCCCATCCAATCAGGTGCATCTCAGGCAGACATCCCAGAATATCCAATTCCCTGCCTGCAAAATGGTCTTGCTTATGCCCAAACACTCAGGATGTAAGAGGCACGGATTATGGGTACGATACTTAGCGGTGTGAGCAGGCTTTGGGAAATGTGAACTCTATCCAGATGGAAGACATTCCAGTGAGTTTTCTTTGCCCCTGGCGGGTGGGAGAGGGTGAGTGGGTCTGGGTATGTAAGTCACAGGTCTCCAGGTCTAACCCACCAGTGACAGACCATAAACAAGATGATGTTTGCTGGGTTTGTTTATTTGTTTGTTTTTGAGACGGAGTCTCTCCCTGTCACCCAGGTTGGAGTGGTGCAATGGCACGATCTTGGCTCACTGCAACCTCTGCTTCCCAGGTTCAAGTGATTCTCCTGCCTCAGCCTCCTGAGTAGCTGGGATTACAGGTGCGTGCCACCACGCCCAGCTAATTTTTTGCATCTTTAGTAGAGACGGGCTTTCACCATGTTGGTCAGGCTGGTTTCAAACTCCTGACCTCGTGATTCACCTACCTTGGCCTCCTAAAGTGCTGGGATTATAGGCATGAGTCACCACGCCTGGCCGATGTTTGCTGTTTATGATACATAATAAGAAGCCTCCATCATTTGAATCATGGGACATTTAAAAAAAAAAAAAAACTAGAAAATACTGGGAATCTAGGATCAGTGTCACACATCCATTGTCATCTCTTGTCTCTGCCAGCCCTCGGCCGCTGGACTGCTGCGGCTCTAGGCACTGCAAGGGCATCCCTTAGTTCCCATCTCCTAACTGCTCCCTCCAGGCTGCTCCAGTTTCCTGAATTCCACCACTCTGAGCCTTTCTCTAATATCCAGAGTGATGCTCAGACCACACTATGGTGTCTCACAGGCCTTTTCTGAAAGTTTGGTCATAAACGGAATTACAACGTAGAGATGAAAACTTACATTAGGTTTCCCAGGCAAGGCGCTTAATTTTTCTGAGCTTCTGTTTCTTCATCTGCAAAATGAAAGCAATGCCGGTTCCTTCCTCATCAGGAGGACGTGAGAAACAAATGAGAGCATGCACAGCAAGTGTAATGAGCACTCAGTAAGTGTCAGAGCACTTCGGCCGAGCGCAGTGGCTCATGCCTGTAATCCCAGTACTTTGGGAGGCTGAGGTGTGCGGATCACGAGGTCAAGAGATTGAGACCATCCTGGCTAACATAATGAAACCCCGTCTCCACTAAAAATACAAAAATTAGCTGGGCCTGGTTGCAAGCGCCTATAATCTCAGCTACTCAGGAGGCTGAGGCAGGAGAATTGCTTGAATTCGGCAGGTGGAGGTTGCGGTGAGCCGAGATCGTGCCACTGCACTCCAGCCTGGGCAACAATGTGAGACTCCGTCTCAAAAAAAAAAAAAAAAAAAGGGCACTTCATTCCACATGCATGTCAGTCAACTAGTGTTTATTATGCACCTACTGTGTGCTGGGCCCTGTGCTGAGCATTGAGATAGAGCGGTGACTAAGGCTTCCCTTTTCCAGTTTATAGTCTGTTTAAGAAGTGCATCCGTTGGGATCTGATCAGGAAAAGAGAAAGGACTCCAGGGATTTCACAGTGAGGGATCCAATAGAGGAAGTCAGCATAGAGAAGGCTAGAAGTGGCTGGGCATGGTGGCTCACACCTGTAATCCCAACACTTTGGGAGGTCAAGGCAGGCAGATCACCTGATGTCAGGAGTTTGAGACCAGCCTGGCCAACATGCCAAAACCCTATCTCTACTAAAAATACAAAATGTAGCTGGGCATGATGGCATATGCCTGCAATCCCAGCTACTGGGGTGGCTAAAGCAAGAGAATTGCTTGAACCCAGGAGGCGACGCTGCAGTGAGTTGAGATCCGCCACTGAACTCCAGCCTGGGTGACAGAGCAAGACGCTGTCTCAAAAATAAAAAGAGAAGGCTGGAAGTGCAAAGAAGTAGGGAAGAGATGTTACTCAGGGTCTCAGTTCCCCCAGGAGCTGACCCTGAGACAAGGATTTGAGCACATGTTGTTACTTTTGGAGCTGCAGGGAATGGGAAAACGGAAAAGGGAGACTGGGAAGGGAGAGCACCCAACAAGGGCAAACATCTGGCTCACCACAGTGGCTGCCTAGAGCTTCATTCCCTGGGGAACACAGGGATATGAAACATTTGCCTCAGTCACCGCACATGAGGAGTAAGGGAACTGGAGTATTTCACACCAAATCTCAGGGGTCACTGCTTGGGATCTCCTGGGGGAGGAGCTTCATTCTGTGAGCATTTATGGCCTCCCTTGGGCACAGAGCCTATGTCTGCCCCTAGGAACAGGGATGCAGATACTGGCAGTTGGAAGTGGGCAGGTGTACTCTGAAGTAACCAAGTCAGAGGGCTCTGGGTGGAGCTCTGAGAGCATCCTCGATATGAAGCGATTGGGAACCAGGGGAAGCCTCTACTGTCTATAGAAACTGCTGCTCATCTGAGCCTACATTCCTTTGTCCTGCACTATCATGCAACTGTTCCTAAGGCCACCACTTTGCGGGAAGATACACTCCCCTGAGGCTGACACGGTCACTATCAGAATGGCTGGCTGCCTGGCCCCTCTGCTGTCTCTGCATGATTCACCAGTTCCCAGGCAGGAGCCCAGGGCCACCCCCTACCACCACTGCTCCTTCGCAGGAGCTCCTTTATGGC